AAACAATATTTTTGTTTTAAGGTATTTTAACCCTTTCGGTCCTAGAATTTTAATATTTGTCAAGCATTTTAGTATGCATTTTACTAATAGTTAGGGCCTCAGATGACGAAAAACAGAAATTCAGTCAGTTGTATAAATATGTATGCATTTACAGACACGACATCTAGTTAGGTCATCACGGTTCTATATTCATGAAATGACAAAAATGGCAAACTGATTCCTTCTTATGCTCTAGAGTACGTAAAATCTGAACCAACGTAGTATTTGACATCGTGGAAGCTCTTAAAACAGCTTCAGGACTTCATCCCAAAAACACCACCTTCCCGCTTTTCAACTGCCGCCTCATCGTCAACCGTGACTTCAGTCCAGCTTCTTTACATCTCCAAGCTCCATAAAAAGTGAAACAGCGGTGATGTCGATGCAAGTGGGGATAGTTGAAGAAATACTTCTCCTAAAACGAATGGGTTTGGTTTTGTTCTCGAGGTCCTAGGAGGAATCTTGTGTGATGGCGTCAATTGACGACTCCGGGGACGAAAGGACTAATGTTTATGATAGCGTTATTGCAGGAGATTCTGGACGGTATATCAGGAATATAAGTCCTACGATGTTCCCTAAGGTGAATAGACTTTGGTTCGTCAACGGATAAAATTATCTGTCGCAGTCATCTCATCGTAGTTGTAGCTTGTAGAGCATTATAGGTCCAATAAACAGGTATTCTCATGATGCGCTACTGGAAGCAGACTCAGTGCTCAATTTTTTGGAGCTAAGTGCGCATCTGCGTTCTGTAACTGTAAAGCGCATGCACCCAAGCAAAGTGAAATGTGAGAAACACAACAACTTTATACTGTCTGGCTGCTTTCAGTTCCCCAAAAGCAATGTCCTATAGCCAGTATGTACGACTCGTCTATACTATGTCTCTAATGCTTGTCTTCAGAAATGCATACATAAATAAATATCATGACAATTTTTGGGGTCCGGCATTCCCAAACCGCGACATAATTATGCGATGCACTGTATTGGAGGTCTGAAAATTTCGATTACTAAGCGTTTTTTTTTTTTTTTTTGGGGGGGGGGGGGGGCTTGAAGGTCGCAAATCAAGCCCTGACCTCCACGGCCGGGATTAAATCATGCGACCTTTGGGTCAGCAGTTAACCTAGCCAGCAACCATAATTACCTTGGGCATAGTTGAGAAATTCAGTAGTCCACTGACAGGATTGTGCCACCCCAATCACAACAAACGTGTATACGTGTGAACAGTTAATCAATGCCGGTGTTTCTTGCGTCCAAACCGCAATATAGTAATCAGTCGAGGTGGCGGTCCGTGGTGGAAAAAGAAAATTGGCAGATTCCACGTAGTGGGAATCGATGATATGCGAAGCACGAATGAGAAATGTTGATATGTCACTTTAAAATCAGCCCAACGTTACGAGGTAGAGGTAAATGACGCCGTACATGATTTCCGTGTCATGATTATCATGTTTGGATGTGTCGTTCACCTTCGTCATCTATTCACGTCACGTGATACCAAATTTTGTATATGTGGAGCAAGCGAAACGGTCGCAAGAACACTATGAGCATGGTATGTTGTCATGTTCTTACATGACACGCGTGTCAGGATTATCATGTTTGCACCAATCATATATTTCGTCATCCATTGACGTCACGTAACACCAAATTTGGGTATACTGATATCGCCAATGCGTTCAGTGAGTATTTTAGCAGTACCTGTGAATCTCTGAGAAATCCCCCATTACCAACATTACCTCGCCAGCCTTATTCTTTCTTCTTGCGACCAACGAGTGCAGAGGAAGTTCTTCGTGTTATAACTTCGCTCAGGTCCACGGGACCTGGTCTTGACTCTGTTCATCCATCCCACATCAAGTTAGTCTCTAGTGAGCTATCTCCTGTCATTGCAGATTTTGTTAACAAGATGTTTAAAGCAGGCATATTCCCCGATTCCCTAAAAGTTGGTAGAATAACACCTGTTCACAAAAAAGGTGATCGCGAACTTCTGAGTAATTATAGGCCCATTTGTATTCTTCCATTTTTCAGCAAAATAATCGAGCGTCTTATGCATACAAGATTAATATCCTACCTGACAAAGTTTACTCTGTTGACATCTAAACAGTACGGCTTTCGGCCTGGCTATTCCACTGAGCTTGCGCTTCTAACCCTCACCGATAAAATAAAAGGGGCAATCGACCAAGGCTTCGTAGTTGGTGGCGTATTCATAGATTTAACGAAAGCTTTTGACACAATTAATCACAAAATTCTTATACATAAACTTGAATCGTATGGCATAACTGGCCCTGCACTTCAATTTATATCTAGTTATCTCTGCAATCGCACTCAAGTTGTTCAGATTGACGGTAAAGTTTCAGCAGCTAAGAAAGTAAATCAAGGTGTTCCTCAGGGCTCGATCCTTGGCCCGCTGCTCTTTTTGCTATTTATTAATGATCTACCTAATGTTTTGACCGCTACAGATTGTATCTTATATGCAGATGACACGACCATTTTTACTTATGCTAACAATGTCGATGAGCTACAACGAAACATTAACGTGGATCTACATAATATAAGTTCCTGGTGTCGAATGAACATGTTAAGAATTAATCCATCAAAAACCGTTTTTATAGTTTTTCATTCCTTCCCGACTGTACTTTCAAAATCTATATCTGTGCGTCTGGACGATAATTTAATTCCCATGTCCGACAGTACAACGTTTCTCGGTGTAGTTCTTGACCGGCATATGAAATTCAATCTTCATGCGCAATCACTCATTCGCAAGATAACCTTTGGAATACGCGCCATAATCAAAACTCGTTCATATTTTCAGCCACACATAATCCACTCCCTTTATCACGCACATATTCACAGCCATTTATCTTATTGCATATCAGCCTGGGGTAACACATATTTGACCCACCTCAACCAGCTACAACGCCTACAGAATCAAGCACTTCGACTCATGACTTTCAGCCATTTCTTAACCAATGCAACGCCACTTTATCAGAATTTAAATATACATCCTCTTTATCACCTCTTTCAGCTGAAGTTATCAGTTGTGATGTATAGGCTTTTTCGCGGTAATGTGCATATAGATGGCATTGTCTTGGAAGGCCTTGTAAATAATAATATTACTAGGTTTTCTGAGCTTGATAACCGCCTTCTGCCTAAAGTTCGCACAAACTACGGCAAGTTCACTACCACATTTACGGGAATCAAGCTGTGGAATTCCCTTCCTTACGTAATAAAATCATCAACCACAGAACATGCATTCAAAAACCAAGTAAAGAAATATTTTTTGCAACAGTTGTCTTCATCTTAGCAACTGCTTTTTAATGTAGCGATAACAATTGCTACATGTTATATTGTCCTTACGTTTTGTATTATAACTTGCGCTTGTTTGTTCTTCAGAGTTTTCTTTTTTGCCTTGCTAAACATATATGTATTTTCTACTTTCGTTTTTTCGCACTGTGCTTTTTTTTTTTTCTTACTGAAGATACCGTAACAACTGAATGTTGTATATTTTGTTTCTTCTCCCGTTAACATCATGTATGGGAGCCCCCCTGACAGTTTCCAACTTTGGGGCTCCTTGTGTGTATTACCAATCCTGTACGCACTTTTCTGTAAACTGACATCGTTGTTGAATAAACTTGAAAACTTGAAAAACTGCAAAAAAAAAATATGTGTAGCTATAACAAAACGGCCGCGAGCACATCATTAAGGGCCCAATATACTCCAATCTAGCGTCGACGTGTGCGCACGCTGGGCAGAGTGGCGCTAAGTTAGCAAAATGCGAGCGCTCTATACAGTGTGACGCCAGGAGCGACCAGCGTCTGTCGACGCGGCCCGACGGCAACCGACACGAAATTCGACATGCTGCATTTCGAGCCGATGCGTTACCCAGACAACACTGCGTCTCCCTCTTTTCGTGACGGAGGGACGCCGGACGCGCTGCAACGCACATGTGTCAAAGCAACCCAGCGCAAACCTCATATGCGCGAAAATGCACGCGACAGCGACGAGCGATGCTATGAGCGACGAAACAGGGCGTTCGCGCGACGTGTCGCGTGCTCGTTTTCGCGTGATCGCTCGGTTCTCCAGATTTGGAAACCGTCGCTTATAACCCCGAAGTGCTGGGCTCAAACAGCCAATAGCGAAAAAACCGGAAAAGACAAAGACTACATAGGTGCACGTGACCCTGCCCGAGTCACGTATGCGCAACAATAAATAACGCAATGTTTACGCATGTGCATATAAAAAAAGTGCTGCAAAGTATTCATAAACACTTTCCGTTCCATTACACAACAATATATCTTATTTTTAAATTACATACCGCTTACTACGCGGTTTTTTAGTGCGAGTAGACGGCCTCATGCCAGCAACAGTGGAGTTCGCTCGCCGAAGCCGTCGCGTGAATGAGGTTTGCCTGCGCTAGCAACTGATCGCGCGAAGACGATCTACGTCGCATCGCTCGTCGCTGTCGCGTGCATTTTCGCGCTTATGAGGTTTGGGCTTTATAGGTGTTCTAAGCTATAGGTTGCCTTTTGAAAACTCGTTCGTCTGATCTTGCTTGTACGTTCGGTTACGTTGCATCTTTGACAAGCGACCCCCCCTCCCCCCCATCCTCCACTTTTCTTTTTTGCAGGTTGGTGAACAGCTGAACTGGTAGAGGGTATATTTGTGGGCACCACTTGGATTAATATTGTTATCACCGCAACCTAATGGAGCCAATACTCTTAATCACGAAACAACCGGTGAAAAATTCTAATATTCTCTTATCTCTAATAAAGTGCTTGATTGGGGTGGTTGGTGCTGCATATTACTAGACGAAGAAAGTGCTTAGCAGCGCAAATTACAGGAGGGGATAGAAGAGGCGAGAACACAAACGCCAAGTCACTGGTTCTACAATACCAAGGCGCCACGGGAGCAGTATAGTTAAGCCTTGTTTCATTTCGGACATTGTAGCCCTTAAAAATAAGCAGTTGCCAGCTCACCATTGGTACGAATGAACCCGTTGTTAGGCAAGCGCTCGTGCTTCACCAGCGATTGCACTAGCTTCCTAGAGCATGTCTCTCCGGCAGCTCTGTCTTAACAGCGTTGAACTCACGCACACCCGTCGGCAAACTAAGCCGGGTTGCACGAGCGGTGATGGCAATCAGATGAAACTGCATCGCCGCGCCGTCTGACGTCCAGCGCATCGCAGTGCGCATGCGCATCTTTTCACACTTGCATGACGCGTCTTTCTTACTCGCTTGCCGAAGGCTAGGTGATTACATGTGGCACTATGCGATAAGGGTCGCTTTCTTGGTCTTATCTGTCGCGCAGTCAGTCAGATGGAAACACGGCAGCGGTGAAAGGTACGCCACTCGCTTTACCTTTATCCCATAGAAAACGCGCAGCAGCTGGACCAAGTAATCTTATGCAAATGAATTGAAATTTTTTTTTTCAACTCACCGCTTCTTTGATTTTGGTGCCCCCTTTCGGCACATTTTCATCAAAGATAAATCACAGCATATGCACGGAGTGAATGATGTTGAGTGGGGCGAAGCGTCCATCTGTCCATCCCTATGTCTGTCTGTCTGTCCATGCGTCCGTCTGTCTCTTTGCGCGTCCGTCCGTCCGTCTGTCCGTCCATCCATCTGTTTGTTCGTGTGCTGCTGCTGCATCCTTGCTCAGCACACCGTTTCCGCAGGCACCGTGAGAAGCACGAAACGCCAAATGTTGTTCCCATCGTTCGGCTGCTTGTTTAACATGGTATACTCAGGTCGTTCACCCGCGATGAAACACACCTCACAGCTTTGCGCGCAGCACAACCCAAATTTCCAGCACGATAATTTAGACAGCACGAGCAAGCGCGGTACACTAAAACACGTAAACACGTGTTTTAATTTTTATGGTTGCTCAGTGTATTTATTTATAGCCCTAATTTCATCACGTCGCCACCAATTCATTCATTCATGTGTACAGAGCTTGTTTTTATTAGCAAAAAAATTAAACACAGAAACATTGACGTTAGAGCACAAGCACAAAGCACGACCTTGAAGCCATTTTTACGTTAAATTCCTGGGTGCGCAAGCATTTCCTCAAGAATATATATATTTTTTTCTCATTGGTCAATGCGAACATTGGTATTATGCTGCCGATTCCAAATGTACAGGCGTATGTGTTGTGCTCCTATTCCTTAAAAGAAGAAGCTGCGTGGCTGAAGGCGATATTCTCTCGAAAGACAAATAATCGGATGAAATACTCCATCAAAGTAACAGCGTTTCATGTTTGAGGCAAAGTTTCTTAATGTCGAAGCTTGTCCATTAGCGGTGTTGGCGAGCGCCGTAGCCGTGATGACAATGGAGGTGACGATCGATGGCAATCACGGTGACTGGCTTTTGCAGTGTATGACGTCTTGATATGAACTATGATGCATTTAGTCATGCAACCACTAGGGGAACATGCAAAGACCTCGCATTTGCAAACTTCAGGCTAGATGCGATATACCACAAAGAAGTATGAAGGCAAAATGAAGTTTGCGACACAACATAGACCATTTATAACTATCACTAATATACATTGTATATAAATGTACACTGCTTTGTGACTCATTTACATGTATGAATGCCACGGGTGATTTACGGCAACAATGACCGATATCACTGCTTCGTCCACTCATGATCATTCACTTCAAGGACATGACATTTTTTTCTTGTTAAATGCACCCACTAGTGACGAGATATGTTCTGTGACAGCTGAGAAAGCGTGCATATATAGATGCGCAATGCTGTATTTGATGCACCTCTCGCATTTTCAACATCTATCGCACATAATACTTTAGAATGTACCGTGTCCGACAGGAATTTTTGTGGGTGCGGGTCTTTTTCTTAACACTACTGTCGGCAGCTATACAGGCCCGGTCAACACCTTGAAAAATTTGCATGCGTTGCAGTTGCATGCGTTGAAACCACTGGACACCAAAGCTCGTGAGCATGTGACCTCGAGCATCACCATTATTTTCCTTTTTTATTATTTTACTTACCCACGTCTTCAGCTGGCCTCGTCGCCCCAACGCCTACTGCTGCTGGTGCTACTACTACATACTGTTATTATTAGTGACGAGCGTTTACAGACCTATTATTAGTGACGAGCGTTTACTATAATATATGTTAATTAATTTGGTTTTTGAGAAAGGGTGCGTGCTCGTCCGAGTATTCAGATGCAATCGACATTTTCCGTGGTTTGACGTGGACAGGGGGCCTCCTCGGAATGTCGAAGAGGTCAAGCAAATATTGTGCACGTCAGAAAACACTTGCGGGGCGCGCACAACACCTGGCTGGCACCCAGAGACGGCTATTGTTCGTCACCCCTGGGTGTCTACCGATTTGATTTTTCCGAATTCCCTGACATCTCCAGGTTTTCCATGATGACTAAAAGCAAATTAATTCCATGACCGTAATGTCTGCTCGGAAAACTCTGTGCACTGAAAACGAGCCCTCGTGTGGCAAAAAAAAAATATCAGGCGCTCATATAAAATAAGTAAACATACCGCACGCGCTCAGAAAGTTCTAAACGTGTGCGATAAATTTGAAAAAATATGTACATCTGGTCAAAAATAAAACCTCTGAGCCAGGCAGTGAGCTAGTTGGCTGTTTGATGTTCGGAAGAACCAGAGAGCAAGCACACATGTTAAGACAATAATTCGCAGATGGAACATCTCAGGTTCCTTCAAATTTTCAACAACACAGCAGAGAAAAGGGGTGAGGTAGAGGAGAAGAGGTAAGGGACGCTCATGCGCAATAAGAGCGGTCCCGCCATGCATCGGATTGAGCTCGACCATAAGACGCTTCACATCTAAAAACGGGCATAACAGGCTCAAAGAGGGAGAGATTTCCTAATTAACTGCAAGGCAATAAGATGAACCGTAATACGGCAGCTTGAGTCAGGATAGACTCGATTCAAGGCCATGCTGCAAACTCTCACAATATTGCTGCTGTCTAGAACCTTATACAGTTAAACCCCTTTAAAGAGGCATGCTCTGGGCAGCAATTCTTGCCTTTTATATGAGATGTCTCTTAAGAGCAGGGTACCTCAAATGCATTTTCTTATCAACCTGTATTTCACTGTAGGCCCACTGGTGTCTCTTATACCCATCTGTCTTTTATATCAGTGTCTCTTATAAAGAGGTTCGACTGTATCTAGCTATTCCCCTTTCAACCCCTGGACCTGCTCCGTGCCCGTAAATATGTTCTCCAACTGGATACACGGGCTCTTATCCCACTTACTGTCTGCTCTTTCTTTTTTCGTCTTACTATAATCCGACAACTTATGCAGTAAAACCCAGATAAGTCGGACTTCACGGGAGGGGAGAGAACGTCCGAATCAACCACGAGGATACGAATTATCGCGAGTATACGAACAAAGCACTTGAAAAATGTCTCCTACACCATCATACTTTTTTTTTATTTCTTAAGAAAGTCTGTGATCGCGGTTTGCTTCACGGGCGCAATGTGCGACGAAGTTACAATTTTGCCAAGTTCCTGCCGGTGGCTTAGTCTGCGCACACTGCCCGAGGAAAGCATGCATATGTCCTCCAAAACGGCCAACGCATGCGCAGCCTCCGTCATTGTGTGGCGTGGACGCTCCGCAGCATCACTTACGTCCTCATCAGCCGATTCCCCTTCGCCGTCCAAGACTTCGGCCACGATATCGCTGCCGGTCACTGTGCCGGCCACGGCAACATCGCTGTCAACTGCGAAGTAATCACCAAGGGGCACATCAGCTGGCATGATGCTCACATAGCGGCCGTCCTGCTGTTCGCCGGTTTAACTCATCGGCCACCACACCCGGATCAGCAGCCTCGTGAACGAAGCCGCTATGCCTAAAGCAGTTTGTGACTTCTGCAGGCGGTGTGTTGTTCCACATGTATGTCAGCATGTGGATTGAGCTTAGCAGGCTTACTTCGTACTGCATGCGTGACTCCATGCAGAGTAACATCCGCTTGAGTACCTGCCGTCGATAGCGGCTTTTCACGAACTGTATGATTCCCTGGTCACTCGGCTGCAGGGAAAACATTGTGTTCGGAGGCAGGTATAGCAGTTAATGTTCTCGAGCCCGGACACCTTTGTGTGCGCACTACAGTTGTCTAGCACGAACAACACCTTCCGAGCCTTGGCCGCAAAACGGCGGTCAAGCTGATGCAGCCTGGCTTGAAAGAGTTCGGCAGTCATCAAGCTTTTCTGTTGAACCGGTAGTCGATAGGCAGCTGCTTAATATTGTTAAAACATCTTGGCTTCACAGCCTTCCCGTTCACCAGCAGCGGCAGCAGCTCTGTGCCGGTCATGTTAGCAGCCAGAAGAACTGTCACGCGCTCTTTATACTTTATTTTCCACCGAGGCACGGATCCCCCTTAAACGCGATTGTCTTGTCAGGCACAGGCTTATAGAACAGCGCTGTCTGACCAGCGTTGAAAATGTTGCACGGCTCGTACATAGAAAGGCGCGCCGATAGTCCAGGCCGCCAGTCTTGCACAACACTTTTGTCAACCGCACCTCGTTCACCACACACGTTGCGGAACACCAGCTCGTGTCGCATCTGAAGCGGTTAAACCAGCCTTCCAACGTACTGAAGGAGTCAATGTTCACAATCATCGCAAACTTCTCTGCTTGTGCGTAGATAAGGGGGCCGCTCAAGGCAAAATGCACATCGCGCGAAACTACAATCCAGCGCAACAGCGCTTCTTTCAGTTTGGGATGCGCTGCCGTTCGAAGCCTCTTCCTTTGGTCGCCAAACATGTCCCCGTCATACGCTTGCATAATCTGCTCTTCGTTCTTCACGGAAGTGCTCAGCGTGCTTTTCCTCACATTGACCTTTTTCATGACTTTTTTTCGAGATGCTCCCGCTTGCAATGCCTTCAATAATTTTACCTTCGCAGACAAATCCTTTGCTTCGTACTTCGCCCTCTTCACTGCGGGAGTCGGGGCGGTCCGCAGGAGACTGAGGGGAAGCCATCTTGGCGCCGCTCACGCGGTGGTCACGCGCGCGCGCATGTAGAAGACAACACAAACAAACACACAAAAAACGCACGGTGATAAAAACGAAATAAATACCGGCGAACTTCTCAGAAAACAGCAACCAGTAAGACTGCAGATGGCACTGATTACATACAGATAAATGATTTAAAGCACACTAGAGCTGAGCAGTTCAACTCAAGCGTCACGCAAACGTGTTCGACGCGCCAAAAAAAAAAAAAAAGGATAGCCAAATCCGTGGGTTGCTTGTTGCTGATAACAGTAGCGATGCACTGCCTTCCATTTGGTTGTTTAAAAACCACCATGTGTGTGTGTGTGTGTGTGTGTGTGTGTGTTTTGGGGGGGAGGGGGGGAGCCTCCGAGATGCACCGCCCATGGATGAAGTTTTAAATCTCAAAGGCTGCAATCCGATCCCAAAGTTGTTTGTTGCTTTTTTACGAAAAGACAAACGCTGCGCGATCTCTAAGGCAATGTACAAGATGTTCACCCATAAAGGCCCAGTGTACTACAGAAAGTGCACCAACATTTGATTAGGTACTCTTCAGACCAAAAAAAAAAAAAAAACTGTACACTTTAGCTGAATCTTACACTTTGCAGCCATTTTGCTCCTTCTAAAGCACAATCATTTCATTTTTTCTAGCCACCCTAACACGTAGGAACACGGAGGAAGGCACGGAGGGGAAGGTGCGGATATCCGTGTTCCTCCGTGTGTTCGCTAAACTACTATTCTAGCCACTGTAGCTAAACAGCGGCGGTATAGTGACGGTTTGTGGTGGTGCCAACGCGTGTTTTAGACTTCGTTGACGGATTTTCAGGCTCTGAAAATGCATCGAAATATTAGAGATTGGGTTTACTGCAGTGCGGAGGAACATGAGCGTCGCCATTGCTCGATAGCAATGGCAATGAGACTGCCCTGCCTTTACTACTGGCTTGCTTTCGAGCCGCAGACGATCCGAAGCTGGAGCTCAATCGCTCAGTTCCTTGTTTTCTTCACGCAGCTGCTGGTTGCAACCGCGGAACGATGCTTTTTCCGATGATTTTCATTATGTTCGCGCTTGGCCAGTGTGAAAACTGATCAGAGCGGCTGCTCGTCCGCATTATCAAGAAAATCATCTAGCCGCAAGTGATGGATGATAGGAATGGCATAGAATAATGCAAAAGTCTTTGCTCCACGATACCCTGCCTCCATCTCGGCGTTGTCGGATACCTTTGACGGCGGACACCTGCTGGTGTTAACGTGTTAATGCAACTGTTTGGTTCGTTCACGAAGGCGGTTTTAGGCGTTGTTTTAACGTGCTTTTCACCATGGCCTCGCTATGCATGGGTGACAATCACGTCGTGACGCTGCTGGAAAAGACTAGGAAGCAACAGACACTTTTTGAATTTTGAGAATAAACGTTCCGTTGTTTTGCTAGCTCAGATCAGCTATATAATTTTACTACAACGAAATTTTTTGCGCGCGCCGTCAGTTTCATTGTAGTGAGGTTCGACTGTATAGATGTTCACTGCTGCCATTCTGCTGCATGATCGGAAGACACTATCCCCCCTGCACCCTCAGTACACACGCCTACGGTCACAAGTGCACATTTTGCCTGCCATTATCATCTGTCTGCACGCATATTCGTACAAGAAGCTGGTTTACTGTCAATCACAAAAGTAATAAATGGTGCGGCGTAAAATGAGGCATTGCACTTTGCAAAAAGCCTTTGTGCTTTGGCAAATTTTAGATGCCAAGATGATTTTGCTATTAGTTTGGCAAGGGCCTGGTGCGTTTGTTATTCTCAAAGTAAGTCAGCTTGCCCATTCTATGGCAAAAGCCTGGCGTACTTTTTCAAGTACAGTATCATAAATCCTGAAGAAATAAATGTAACTCCATGAAAACTCACAGCTGTAGGTATTTACTGAAGCTTGATAAATATGTATACAAACCTTCAGTGAAATCCAGCCAACAGTTCTTGCATGGGCCTTAATAGCTATACTATACTGTACACATAACTATATTGCTGCCCAGGTTGACGATTAAAAGCAAATTCCATTCCATAACCGTCACGTTTGCTAAAACTCTGTGCATAGAAAAAAAAAAAACCTTGAGCGGAAAAAATTTAGTTCAGGCGCTCATATAGAATAAGCAAACATATTTACCCCATGCACAAGGGTATTCTGAATGCATGCGGTAAATATAAAAAAGTAGATCTGGCCAAAATAAAACGTCTCGGCAAGTTGGCTGTTCGACATTCGGAAGAACCAGGAAGGAAACTCACGAGTTAAAATTAACCGCACCTGAACGTTTGAAGGAGCCCGCAATTGTCCGATAACACAGCCAAACCTGCTATGAAACGTAGAAATTGTTCCTTCTCGCAGCATCCGTGTAAAAGGAGACTGTGGGAGCCCGGCCGGTTCAGCCACTTGGGTACATTCTAGTTAAATATAACGGCTACAGCCTAGACCGCTCAGTATGTGGATTGGATTACATTAGATTGACATGGACTGCTGTATTCACTATTGATTTGCATCCTCACCTAATTCGCACACCTCCAAAATATACTTATCAGCCGAAAAGAATAACTACCACTTGCATATTCTGTGCCCCTTGCCTTGACAATGACTAACGACAATGTCACAAGAACGAAGCCATACAGCAAAATCTTCTTTTCTAGGGGCGAAGCTCCTTAAAGCGGCACTCGTTCATCCCTCGTAGTCGTAGTGTGTAACAAGTGTTACATTTTGACCTGTAAGGTGGTGCCGGTGGGAGATTTCTCTTGTGCTTTGTTGAACAGTAAAAAGTTCGCGGCGTACGCGTTAACAAAAAGCCGAATGCTCCTGTCTCTCATTCCCCATTAGCAGCCGTTGGCGTGTTCCAGTAGGAAACGTTAGTAGAAGTAGAAGTGTTAGAAGCAGACTTTCTGCTGTCTCTCATTCCCAGTAGCAGCCATTGTTTACCTCCAAGGTAGTGCCTGATGAGATTTATCCTGTGCATGATAAACAATAAAAAATTTTTTGTTCAAAGCGCCAGTTGATTGATGAAATAACCTAACGAAAGACGCCAGACGTTTCTAAAGAAAAATAAAAAGAAGACGCCAGCTGCTTAACGAAAGACGCTAGGTGTTTTCTAAAGCAATGGTTTTATAATCAAAACCATATCAATACAGGTTTGTAGTTGCTGATGCTCGTTGCCGTCGGCGCGCGCTCGCAGACAGGACCCTGAAGTGAGATCGCGCGAAGCAGAAGCGCGCCAAGAAGCTGCGCGACGTCGCCGCCAAGGTCCTGCTGTACGGTAACAAGAAGCCACACCAGCAAGGCAGCGTCGGCAAGATCCTGCTGTACGGGAACAAGAAGCCACATCAACAAGGCAGCGGTCATAATGAAAGGACAACGGAAACCAGCAATAAAAGTTTGCTAAAACGTTTAATCAAAGTCTTTTTTTATCGGGCGAATTAACGGAAGAAAACTTCACGGTATTACTTCCAGGAGCTTCGCCCAATCTCATCATCATTCACCTCGTGGATCTGCCGTCAATTTTTTTTTCTCTTCCTCGACGAACACATGCGTGTTGGTGTTTCATTTCTTTGGACTTTGACACTTAAAGCACGATGGAAGTTCTTAGATGCCTGCAATGAAAACTTAGGGTAGTGTTTAAAGAGCTGACATTTGCGGAATATGATGGCAAGAAGGAATCTGTCAGGTCAGAACAGCTACCTCGAACCCATAGATGAATCAACGTTACTTGAACCAGGTCAGTTTCGCAGCTCCCCGCGCGCGCCGGCACGAGCGGCTGACGCGTGAACTAATGGCGCTGCTGTTTCGTCTTGCTTAAGGCCCCTGTACAGGGGCCTTAGTCTTGCTTCACATACCATGCCGCGCGTTGCCGCTTAGACACGACAACACGTTTTCGGCGCTCGGTTGCTTCTTCGCACCATTATTTAGTGAACTGTCGTTCCTTACGAAAGAGTTTTAACATGTGACAAGAGCGCCAATAAACAATGCCTTATTGTTGTGCCCCGGGCCGCAAAAGCGGCTACGGATATGACATTGATCATCATTTCTTTGAGCCACCCTGGGATCGCGATGAGTTTAACAAAAGCCACCCGCATGCTCCCGCAGAAAGAAGTCGAGTAAATGCGTCACAGAGTGAGGGGGGGGGGGGGTATCGCGTGTATGTTGCGTAATTGGGTATTGTTATTTCATCTTATTTACGGAATGATGAAGAAGCGCGTCCTTCAAGGAGTGTTTGGAGGCTGATGTTGGGCTTGTGCCCCACTACTAGTTGAAGGTACTATTGCTACCAGCGCATCTACTCGAGTCAAGCAAAGCGTAGCCAGAAATTTTTTTTCGAGGGGGAATTGGGCGAGAGGCACCTGTTTCATTTCGGGCAAGGCACCCCCTTGAAATGGTCATTTGTTATTCTCTATGCTATTGCGAAAAAAATTTCCAGGGGGGGGCATGGACCCGGTGTGCTACCTCCTGGCTATGTCTGGCATGGACCCAAACTGCACTCTGTGTAACGAACCGGAAACGGTTGGACATACTGTGAGTGAGTGCTGGGATCAGATATTCTTTTGGGATGTGGTACAAAAGACCCTGAAGAAATATCTGCCGATAACACCTCATGGCATACGTTATATTTCAATACAGAATGAGGGTGGTGTTCCATATAATATGACGTGATTACTGGGCCTTTCCAGTCTCTGGATAAAACGCATGGCTGTGAGCCACATGGATCCTAAAACAAAATTGGCACGGGAAACTTCATTGAATGCGTAATATGTGCGCAAGATAGATCGAACGTTTATATAACCTCAAAATTGTATGCAGGTGTTTGATGAGTTAGTGAAAATGAACCGTTGTTAAACCGTCAAAGTGGTGCGAGTAGACCAATATGGTTTTTATGAATATGTATTCATTTATTTCTCAATAAAAAGGTTCTAAAAAGCACACGCGTGGCTGTGTAGTAGAACTCCCGCTCTCCCCGCAAACTGCCCGGGTTCGACCTCCACTCAGACCTTTTCAGACCCCCACTCAGACCTTTTCCAGTCGCGCCCAAGATGATTATTTTTCGCTCATTACCAACGAAATCGACGCCGACGCGAGAATTTCTGCGAAACGAACTCTTCAACGCTGTCGCGTTAAAAATGGGCACAGATGCTGTGCCGCAAGGATGGGCAGGCTGACTCACAAGTCCGCTATATGTGAGTGACATTTTGAGGTAGACGATAATGTCAAATATCATAAGTACATTATAAATGGGAAATTAAATACTTCCACCTCGAGGAAAATGGGCGCTAGAGCCAAAGACATTACCTCGCTTTTTTCCCGGTCTGCCAGAGTGCATATCGAAGGCACATGTGACAACAAGAACAAGGAGGTCACACCACACACACACACGCACACACACACGCGCTAGGGATGAGCTCATGCTCATCCCTAGGGAAGTCATGGTCATGGAGTCGGTCGAGTGATTTTAGCGACGACGCATCTCCGGGCAGATCAGACATCGCGTCAGCTACACCGTTCGCGCTCAATGAAGCGATGAACTTCTCGTTGCCTTCCGCGTGCAGGAGCCAAAAATTAATCGATGATGCCGTGTCAGGGATAACGTGTGGTGTTTTTCTACTGCAGAAATCTTGCACCAAGAGCTGCTACTACAAAAAACTGCTATTGTGGAACGAGTTGGTAGCTCTAGATTGTGCCCACAACTATTAGTGTTCATCGTAAACACTGTACAGTGTTTACAAAGCGGCCTAATAGCTTTCTCTGCCTGTCCTACGGAGGCCACTGCTAGCCAGAAAGCCTTCAAAGGTGGTGAAAAACAGAAAGCAAAAGGTCCGCAACCTATCGAAGAGGTTTGCCCGTGCGGCTGCCTCAAAAAGGAAGAAACATAAGAAGATCCTGGCTCTTGAGCGAAAGCTTTCTGCAGTTTCAAATGAGGGAATCGAAAATACCCTTGCTGAGCTTCCTCATTTGCTAAGGCTTTCATTTATGACATCACTAATGTAACGAGTGTTTGGCAATAACCCAGCGAAATTATTCGAGAAAGATCGCTAATACTTTAGCCATCTTTCGCGCAAGAGTTGGCATGATAACTACAGTTTTTTAATGCCCTCATGAGAGAATTCTCTCGCGAGAAAGATGGCTGCTAACTACACAATATAAAAAAATGCCACCTTGAGCAAACTGTATTTCTAAAAAGTGTTTTCATTATAGCGCAGTGGACATTTGGCTGGGAAATTTTGCAGGCCGACGAACACTGGAAAGAACGTGAATGATGCACAGCTGATTACAAAATAAACTACGCTTAAGATGAGCCACCAATATAGAAGGACGATCGCATACTAACAACTCGTCCTGTGTACTTCTATTCTGGTGTCTTGTGTTTCGAGCACTCTATTTTTATAATGTATTGCGAACTAGCGCCCAACACAAGCTTCTCGGGCACAGCCGATTCCGCCCGAAAACAGCATTCCGGGCACTGTTTGTAAATAAATAAGTAAAGAAATAAATAATAATTAGTTTCCTGATTGGAAAGGCTCCTGACTTTTAGTGGTGATTATGAAACAGATGTTTTACAAGATTTTGTTTTTGAAGTACTTGAGTTTACCACTCAAGTGTCAATGGCGAATCACGACTGACGAGAGCTGCGACGAAAATGCGAATAACTCACGCTGCAGCAGACGACGTGCGCGGCTTGAAGTAAAATGGCACAGCAGCGCCACTAGTTCTCGCGTCGGCCACCACGGCCACTTCAGAGAGCGCGCGCCTTACAGGGAGCTCTGAAACTGAGCTGGTTCTAGTAACGTTGAGATGAATCACGAATGCCAGTGTGTCAACATCATTAAGATACTTCCCTTATACTTACATACATTTACGTATGGATGCAATGCTAAAAAATAATCATAACTTTAAGAACGCCGCGCCTCTCGAGCTAGCATCAGCTGCGCAAGAGGCGCGGCGTGGTGATCGAGAAATGATGATGATGATGATCGTGCCCTACAGGTACAAGAATATGAAGGAGGTGTCCTCACCCGCATTTTCTCTTTGTGCGCTTTCTTACTTACCAAACGACGTGTCGCTTGCTGGTAAGAATCGTGTTTACGGATTGCGAAATTGTACTTCAATACGTTAAAATAGTTTTGCTATTTAACGTTACTTTAGATACGCTGTGCCTTTTTCATGGCTTTTATTGTGAACAAGGCTCTCGCATGAGGTTCCGAAACATCAGTAAGCTTTGTGTTCTTTTTGTTGGTGTATCTTTTCGCATATGCACTGAGAGGAGCTTTGCACGGCCTTTTCTTTTTTCAACCTCTTCTAGCTGCTCACTGTAGTAAGCCAAAGGAGCAACATTTTAAGCTTCAATCAATGGTAATGCTTATTTTTGTGATGGACGCATAATGCTTATTTTTGTGACGGACGCACAGATTGCCATCAGTTTCCACGACCTGGCCAGGTTTTTCAGAAATTCTCTTACTTTTCCAAAGTGCTTCAGATTTCGTGATTTTTCCAAGATGGTAGGCACCCCGACTCGTACTTGTCCAAACATGAAATGCCATTATTCCATCATAAATATCTCAAAACCATTCCTATATTTAATCTTTTTCGCTGAGACTCATGTAGACTTCTTACTCTCCAAGAAAGGATAAGGCCCTCCCATCAAAAACATTCAAACAGAAATCTACTGAGCTTGGAAATGTTTATAAGTACTATTTTGAGAGGCATTACTAGGCATATCTTGAAAAAGAGGTTCGCATGGTAGGCTAGAATTTCCAGATAAGTCGTTGGGATCGAAAACATGGCAAAAAGAACAAACTTTTTTAATGGCATGGTTGGCTTCTACAAGTGTTGTTCTATACATCTGCAAATTTTCATGCTCTAGTGAGCAATAATTTTATTTAAAATATCATTTTCATGGCCCACATTCTTGGTGCTATAGTTTATATATCTCAAAAACAAAACAACTTACAGGTGAAGTAAATGTAATTAAAAAATCAGCGAGAAAAGCGGCACAAACGTGCAGTTCCATCAACTGACGGAGAAATAAGAACAAGAATGTCAGAAATGAGTCCCTCTCCTTAAACAGGCTAACCTTGTGGTTTATTATTTCCAACATTTGTGATGTACAAGACAAGGCACAATTTTTAAGATACATAACGATTTTCACTGATAAATTTCCACAGAAATTGCAGTACTCACATAGGCAAACATTTATTGCATGTTTTATAAATCAAATAGTATTTTTAACTTTCACTCACCACACAGACAATGCTCCAGCTGCCACTTAGCAAACAATGCAATTGCGATCTGCCAAGCACTGTGTCAGGCCTGTTAACACCTCCTGCCGGTAGGGCAGCAACATGTCTTCCTCGATGCTGGAAAGTCTGAGCAAGCATTCAGGAGCAGACTGGCGGACCTCCTGTAAATAATGCAACATGCGGGTATGTTTTTCACTCCTCAATTTACAGGTCCTGTGCTAAACACTGGCAGCCAATTTCCAAACGCTGTCTTTTCCGGTCAGAATATTACTTGGCTACTTAAAATACGCCTGTCCTGCCTGTCCTGAAACATTATCGAAACACACTAACATTATACCATTCAGTACTAGTGTAGGCACATACAGTATATTTGCTAGCTATTCTGATACTGCATTGCCAAGTATCAATGTGGTGCTTGGTCTCGCTTACTTCAGAAGCACCTTGATATGAACTCGCCAAGAGCCTGCTAGTTCAGCACAACAAACATGCAACAGCAGCAGGCTACAACTCTTCTCACCATTGAAAATGATGACATTGCCAGCTGCAGCAGCTGTGGCAAGACTGAGCCAAGGCAGGAAGCCATCAGCCCTACATTTTCTGTAAGGCATGAGAGCACGCATTCATGTATTATGGATCCCTCTGCACTGTTCGGGGCAGTCAACAAGATTGGTAGGATCTGTGGAAATAAAATGCAATGAAAAGTATGCATGTAAGAGCAATTCCTTGTGCAACGCTATGTAGTATTTACTACACTGTTTGAAAGGCACTGATGCTCATACGTTTCATTATGAAGTCATTCTGCAGCAGCTAAATGCTCTGAATACGGAAAAAAAGAAGAGCCCCCGCAGTAGAAGTGCATGGCCCTACTAAGTACCTGTTACAAGAAACAATAGCAGGGCCTAAGGCATGATAACAAGTTGCACTGATATTGACAGCCTAACACTGACTAGCACTCGGCACTTGCAAAGTAGTGTGAAGGCACCTGCATGCATTTCAAACATGACAATGTGAAAATACAGTAAAAGCTTGTTAATTCGGATTTGATGGGACATACCAGAAAACATGTCCAAATTATTCATTAGTCAAAGTATCAAGAGAACAACAAACAAGTGTCTGAATTTTCTTTAATATGTAGATCCAGTACTTGCTTTATTTAGGAACAGTGTATAATAACCACAATTTTTGTCATTCACGATTTCATTCACAATGTGACCGCGGCTCAAGACGCCCGTGTCTCTAGCCTGAAAATGCTCTGAACCCATTCTTTATTACGAAGCACTACCACCAAAACAACCGGGCACATGTGATAATTTTTTCCCCGGAACAAACGAGCAGGAGCCGACTGCTCATTCATCAAAATGTAGCAAGTTTTATGCCACCATATCGAATAGCCGTACGTCTTCATCTTCAATAGCTTCCATCGCACCTAAATTTCATGAGGTTGTGCACACACTGCCCGAAGTCGAAACAGATAATTTAGACTGTGCTCACTGAAGACATGAAGACAAAGTCATGACATCCACGCAGTTCAAAAGGCGTGCACCTAGGCCTACACCTTAAGTAGGAACTAAGCTTCTGAGTATCGCAACTGCTGGTAAATAAACCTGGCTCACTAATACGCAATCATGGATGGCAACTACGCACTTTCGAAGGCACATGGCGAAAATGAAACTGCCACTTCTTGCAGCTTTGAGCCCAGCCGCTATCGATGTCATCACAGATAGCAACCATGCAGTTCACAAGCACCAAACACATAAAAACAAGAACAAATTCGGCAGGAGTATGGGCAAGCACTTTGGGAATCGATGTTACGCAAAGCATGTGGAGGGAAAGAGACTGTTTTGTAACTTTTTACCGAGTGAAAAGTTACAAAATGACGTTAAAGGTATGTACAAATACTGTACCACAGACATATGTTGAACAGTCGCATATGTTTTATACAGGCGAAACCCACGATAACGAAATCCCGAGCGAACGTAATTCTCACCGCAACAAAATATTTTGGAAGCACCGGCGAACGCCAATAGGAGTTCGCCGGTGTTTCGTAACGCATTTCGTAACTGGACGCATTTCGTAACTCGCGACTACGAAAAATATTCATACCGCACTCCCTCATTAATGAAATTTTGGAAACACAAGTGCGCAAATAATCTACTCTCGCAACATTTACATTTGAAAACTGCTGAAATGCATTCATGCTACACTTAAATTGTCCAAAATTATCGCTAAACACACTTGATAAGCAGCCGCCATCATTGCTTACAAAAAAAAACAAAGCTCGCGAAAATGATGATGATGGCTTGCCGAAACACTTGCTCGTTATCTCGGACTACGTACATAGTCAAAGCCACAATCGTCATGGAGTGTCGTCCGTTGGCTTGGCTCTGTGCTTGGCATTGTCGGCTTTGCGCACACATGGTCGCGTGTGTGGAGCCATTCGTGGAGAGTTTGCTTGGTCGCTTGGTGCAACGTGAACTGTGTGTTGCGATTGCTTCATCCGATTTCGCTGCCTGCGAAGATGCTGCCCCCAACCAAAAAGCGGAAGTTAATCACGCTGGAAGATAAGGCTGAATTCGTCAGTGAGGTGGAAAAGGGCCAAAAAGAAAAAAAATGGACTTCCCGAAGAATTCCGTGTTGCTTGCAGCTCGTTGTCCACGATTCTCAAGAACAAGGCCTCCATTCTTGGTGCACTTGAAAACGGCACGAGTGCAAGAAGCAAAACTGTGACGGCTGAAGCGTTCCTGGACGTGGACAAAGTGGTGTTCGCGTGGTTTTGTGAACAGAGTGCCAACAAGGTGCCTTTATCTGGCAGGATCCTGCAACCGAAGACGCTGGACTTCACTTGTGTGCTCAGCTACGACAACTTAAGGCGAGTCCCGGCTGGCTGAGTCGTTTCAAAGCTCGCCACGACATCGCGGCCAAAGTCATTTTGGGGAGGCAGCAGCCGTCGACTCGGTGACAACGTCATTGTGGCTGCTGAGCAACAGAGAAATGCTCGGCTAGTACAAGCCCTCAGACATATATAATGCCGATGAAATGGCATTGTTTTGTGAAATGCTGCCATACAAAACCTTGGTCTTTAAAGACCAGAAGTGCCTCAGTGACAAGCACAGCAAGCAGCGTGTGACGATTTTATTGTGCACCAACATGAATGGCACAGATAAACGGCCACTGCTCGCTATTGGCAGGAGCAAGAAGCCCCACTGTTTCAAGGGGAATCGCAGGCTGCCAGTAAGCTACACCATGAACTTGAAGTCGTGGATGACGCGCCCAATTTTTAGCAGCTGGCTCCAGTCACTCGATGCCGACATGCGGAAGGCAAACAGGTCGGTCTGCCTTCTTCTTGACAACTGTAGCGCCCATCACGTCGACATGCAGCTCAGAAACGTGCGCCTGGCGTTTTTTCCACCAAACTGCACTTCGGTGCTGCAGCCTCTCGATCATGGAGTTATTCGCAGCGTGAAGTGTGCTTACAGAGAGAGGCTGATTCAGCGTTTGCTGCTGAATATATGTATGAAGCACCCCACTGACGAGGACTTGTTCAGGGCCCTAGAGATGATCACCGCCGCATGGATTGTGACGAGTCCAGCCGTGATAACGAATAGCTTCACACAAGCCAGCCTTGTCACTCTGCAGGCATCATGCACTGATCCAGCAGAACCGAAAGAAGGTTCGCCTGTAGGCGCACTTGATGACGGTATTGGTGACAGGGCAGTGCCACCATCACTGACCAGTGCACGGGGCGAACTTTGTGCCATGGCAAACGAGATTCTCGATGGCCTCAGCATCCATGAGTTTGTTTGCGCAGATGAAGGCATCGTCGTGCACAAAGTGACTGATGAAGCCATCGTCAGTAGCGTGTGCAAGGCGGCGGATCCCGATGAGCAACGACCAGAGCAGCCAGAGAAAACAAGTCCATAGGATGTTCTGAATGCCTTCGACACAATTTGCACGTTTTTCGGCTAGCACGACAACGACGTGGCAATGGACTATTTCTTACAGTGTGAGTCGAGAGGCATGAAATTGCTGCATGGTAAGGCCCGCCAAAGTAAACTTGCCGACTTTTGGAAATGAAATGTTTTTTTTTTTTTGTAAATTCCATGTTTTTCCTGCCGCATTCTCGTGCCAACGAAATTCCCGCAAGAGTGAAATTCTGTGCTTTCAAAGCCGATTTCGTTATTGCGGGTTTCAGTTGTATAACCAGAGGCTTACAGTTGCCAACGGACAACACGGCTGTTAGCAATGAGACGTCCCCCTGCTACGCCACCGATTACCAAAGAGAGGGAAGACCACTCAACCCCTTTTTATCCCGTTCCCTCTTGGCTACGTGCCTCAATCACTTTCCACATACAGGGATTCGTGCTGGGGCCGGGAAGTAAGAGACGTCACGATCTTTTCTGACCCCCGAATGCAGAGATGCTACTTGACTCGTACTTGACTCGTTCTTGACTCAAGACAGTCTTGCCGATCACCATAAATCGTTCTCGAACTTGCGGATGACTTGAAGGCGACTTGGCTCGGTCGAAGTCAGGACAAGTTTCAAGTCAGTTGCGGGGCTAGCTTGAAAGCGACTTCGTGCGTTATTCCAACATGGCCACCTCTCGAATGGACGTCGCGCAGAGGGTGGCCGCTTTTGAGTTTGCTTGCCTCGCCATAAGCGTAGCATTTTCCGAGGCGCACTGCCTGCCAAGAATCTTGGACCCGCTTTACGTGACCGAGGAAATCCGATGGAGTTGTACGACGAGGAACAATTCCACGCTCGATACAGATTCACGAAGAACGCCGTGCGGCAGCTGCTGGGTATGTTGCCGCTCCGTGAAAGTGGGGACAACCGAGGACAGCCTGTGCCCCCAGTGTTACAGCTACTGATGGCTCTCGGGTTTTACGGCGCTGGCACATTCCAAACAGTCACCAGGGAATCTCGTCCGCATTCCGTAGTCGACAGTTTGCCATGCAGTAGGAAAAGTTACGCTACTCATCGCAAAGAACCTGTACGCAATGATGGTGCGCTTTCCGCAGCCGGCACCACTTTCTATAGTTATGCGGGACTTTATGAAGTGGCTGAGTTCCCTGGTGTTACAGGCTGTGTCGACTACACACACGTGCGTATTAATTGCTTCGGTGGGGACGACGCTGAAGTGTTCCGTAAGCGCAAAGGCCATTTCTGTTTTTCTTAAACAGGACGACAATTTCCGCCTCTTTCGGTACAAAATTGACTCGGTGCTGTGTCTGTGTGCCTCGTATATCCTTTCGTCCCGTCTAGGGCACTGTTTCTCGCTCAGATAGCATCGCTTGTAGCACAACGCTACGTAGAATTCCACACACATAAAAAAGAGGTGCCCTTATCACGGGTTTTTTTATCCGCTTCACCACCATGCAGCGAGACACTGCTGCACCACGCGAGACAGAATTCTGCTGAGGGCAATGTCCTGACCCCCGCTTTTTCTCTTGTTTACCACGCTCAACAAAAGGATACGAATCACATTTGTTCCCAGAACTTTTTTTTTTTTTTCATATATGACTACGACCTAGTCCACTACAGGCATGCACACAGGCGAACAGAAGGCAAATACCGTGAAAATCGCGTCACCTCGTGAGTTAGGTCAGCACAAATACATGCCGTGGCGTTCAATTGAAAAAAAAAAAAAAACGACGAAAGAACCCAACGCGATGCTTGCTTCGCCTCCAAACAAGCAACCGTGGAGAAACGCGCCGCATTTGGGCGGCCACTGAAACCAGCGGGCAACGAACGCTTTACAGAAGCAACACTGCGCATCGCTGTGACGGCAGGCACCACGTGCCGCTCGTTAGCCGTAAAATGGCAGGAATACGCTTGTGGCCCTTCGTTTTTATAGTTATTTTAAAACGTACAGTCTTTTTTTGACGTAATGCATGCCTTACGCGAACAACTTCATTATTACCCTCGTTAGCAGGCGAGCAACGTGTTTCTGCTTTGAAGCTCGTTCTTGACTTGACCAAGCAAGACAGCCTGAGCATCTGTGAAACGCGAAGGCTGACTTGGGCGTTTTGAAGTCCGCTGCTTGCTTCACGCCGACTTGCTCAAGTTGAGTTGAAGTCGCGAGCCAAGTAACATCTCTGCATTCGGGGATTAATCATGGACGCATTTAATTGAATACTAAGTGCAAATGGCGTACACACATATTGCCCGTGAACGACATCTCTGTTACACAAAAGGGTAACACATCAGCAAATACTCGCGACATGCGAAACAGGATACATAAGCGAGTAACGGTGACAATACAACGGTGCCTCAATACAGAGTAAACATACGACGACACAAATGATAAAGTGATAAATTAATAAAACCGCACAATGTCTCAATATGCCGCATTCCTTCCCGCAAAACTCGTTCAAGTAAAGGAGGTGAAGTTTGTTTCACAGAATGTCCATGTAGTCGGAGCCTCGGAGTTGGCTGCTCGAGTCGGGGCCGAAGGTTGGTTCCTCACGTCGCGGTCTGATCTGTCCCCTTCCGTCGCCATCTACTTTTTTTTCTCCCCTGGGAAAGACTCTCCTCGCCTCTCCCCTTCCTTGACACGTGGCCGCTTTTCTCGGGTTCCGACTCTGCCCTACCGGGGCACCAAACCAATCGCCGCTATCCACGCGGCATATTTTCTTCTCAGTCGGAGTGTATCATCTTCGGCGGCCGCCCCCGTGGCCTACACCAGCAGAAAACCCTCTCCCAAACAAAGCCGAGCAAGTAACAATGTACAAACTCAAGCCTCAGGGAGAGTGATGGGCGAGCCGTCCGAAGACACTTTATTTACGGGCGAACACTGGTCCCGATGCTTTCGGTACTTGGTGAGCCGATGTCCAGACCAAGTCTCAACGCTTACATGCAGCTCGGTGTCTCCTGCGAAATTCTCCGTAGCCGCCGCTTCTTCGTCATCCACTGCCGGGGGTGGCCATCCGCGCAGAACGCAGTAATGAGCCCTGGAGCCACGGAGGCTGAGGGAAAGTCATACTGGACCCGGCACAGGCGCTGCGGCAGCGTCGCATTCCCCGAACCAACAAAAGGTGCTCTGCTGCTTCCCCCATGCCACAAATCTGAAGGGTGCGCGCGAATTATCTCCACCGTACACTGTCCCACGGTCTGTAGACGACAAGGCGCCGCCCGGTCCTCGTGTTTGCGCGGGGGAGCCCGCGAGAATAGTAGAAATAATCCTTCCGGTACTCCACTTCGGAATGCCCATTCGTTACACCGAAGGTTTTCTTTTCCTTTTTTTTTATGTGTGGGTTTGACAAACGAGCGTACACATCTTGAAAGGAGCGGGGTTCAGTCCGTGTTTGCGGGGACATCACAGCAATACCAGAAGCGGTAAGCTGAAATGTAGCACCTGAGCTCCCGAGGATGGTAGCCCTGGACTCTGCTACATAAAAAGAATGGCTAGTTGGGCAAGTTTGTACTTATTCATAAGTATACTGTGCAAAAAAACAGACAAAAACACAAAGTAGAGAAGAAGGACAGACAAGCACAGACTATCAACTGCAGTTTTATTGGAAGACCTAGGCAATATATACAGGAAAGAATAAAAAGAAAGGGAGTGCAAAGGGGAAGGAGAAAAAGGCACAAGGGGCCAAATCAACAAAAGCTGGGCAACATCGGGAAAGCACGCACGTCATGCAAAGCCTAGATAGGTCGACTCCTTATCATGTATGGTCACAGAGGGAACACTGACACACAACTCAGACATCTTGCGAATATGCACAGCCTCAATAAGCTCGCGCACTTTTTGGTTTTTATGCTGCAGCAGCACAGAAGTCTCATCAAAGAGCGGCACGCAGCCACATTCCCTACAGTGGGCTGCTAAATGAAGGCCGGAGTGGCCTTTCAGAGAATTAAAATGTTCTCCAAGTCAAATATTTAGACAGTGACCTGTGTGACGCAAGTATACACGATTGCATGACAAGGGTACAGAGTAGACAGTCCCGGTGACACACGATACATAATTATAAATGTTACTAACATTGCACGTACTTTGCTGGGCATATATGCGATTTGCGACTCATCTATCTACTTTGGCACATAAAGCTGATAACTTGTTCCTGGCAGAAATAACAACTTGGGTGTCATATCTTGATGCGACCTTTTTTACACGGTTGGTAAAACCGTGAACATATGGAAGAACAGCAAATTTCTTATGCTTCGCCTTCTCATCTAAGTTGCAACCAACACAGGGGCCTCCTTTTATTTTCTTAATCAACTTTTCGCAGACTTTTAACAATACATCCTGTGCGAAGCCTGCTTGTCTAAGTTTTTGGACCTGTCCAGCAAAACTTTTTTCAACTGAATGGCTGCAGGATTTCTTCATTGCAGAGCTAAAACAAGAGAGTTCAATCGCATTTTTAACCAGTTTCGTATGGCCTGATCTATAGTTCAGCACAGGTTTAACAGGCCGAGGGGTGTAGCACCAACACACATGCGTGGGCGAGAACTTTAGCTGAAGATCCAAAAATTGCATACATTGGTCCTTTAAGTATTCCGAAGTGAACTTCAGGCCAAGACCACATTGCTCAAAACTCTTTAAAATACCTGCTGACATATCTTCAGTTGCCTTAAGGAGGAAAAAAACGATGTAGTCATTGACATAATGAAAAACCCTGATTACTGAGGCCTGTAAAATCAGTTGAAGTGCCCGATCAACTCTACTTAGAAAAATTTAGTTTAAAACCGGCGCCACCCTAGACCCAATACATACACCTTTCTTCTGCAGGTACACCTCACCTTGGAAATAAATAAAAACACCAAGTAAAAGAACAAAAGTTCAGTGAAAAATTCAACTGACATGCCACTTAGACCTATGAAGGCAGGTTCATCATTGTGACACGTAATGGATTCCTTCACTGCAGTCAAAAGGCGATTATATGTGGAAGATAGAATAAAAGAGGTCCCCTACGTCAAT